TAAGAAGACAAAAAGAAAAAAAACTGTATGTAATGTGTTACACATGGAGTTTTTATTTTTATTTATTTAACCTTTATTTAGCCAGGTAAACAGTTTGAGAAACACTTCTCTTTTACAAACATGACCTGGCATGCACTGAGTGCATTGTAATTTACAAACCTACAAATTCAGCCATAGTAAAGTGATTGTAAATTTTAATCGCTATTAAAATTTTTCTGCCCACGCAGCACTAAAATTAATCAGAGTTAACGTGATTAATTTCACTGCCCTAATTACGATATATAGGTTTGTTTGTTTGTTTGTTTGTTTCATTTCTGCTGACTCAGATGTTTTTTCAGGTTGCTGGTCAATACTGTAGCTCATTTTGTTTATGCAATGTAGAGGTCAGAGTCCAGTATAATCAGTAATTTATTTCCCCTGCCCTAGCAGAACTGATAAAGCTGACATTTTACCCTTGTACAGTAGCTCTTTATCTTCAATCAAAAGGAAGATTTTTTCATTTGGCTTTTGGCAGGATGGAGTCTTTTMTTGCCACAGTTGGATCCTATGTTGAGTGGGACTTTAAAAGTCTGCTGCTGTTTGTGGCAGTTTTTATCATCGCTGCAGATTATATTAAAAACCGTCGACCCGTTGGTTTTCCTCCAGGACCTCCAGCTCTTCCAATTCTGGGCAACATGTTCACTTTGGACATGAACAGGACCCATGAGAGCCTAATGGAGGTATACCAAAAAATCTAGAAATGWTAGTTGAGTTCATTTTCATTGCTATTTTCACAATTTTTGTTCTTTGTTTGTCTTCAATTRTCATCCAGCTGGCAAAGAAATATGGGAATGTGTACAGTCTACGGTTTGGTCAGCAGCGGTCCGTAGTTTTAAATGGGTTTGAAGCTGTGAAAGAAGGTCTGGCAACAAAGGGAGACAGCACAATTGACCGTCCAAATTTTCCTTTACATGAGGAGATTGTACATGGGCTAGGTGAGAAGACACTACTGACACACTGATATAATCTTGCATTTTCCCTTCTGTTTTTAAAAACATTTTATTGTCCCACAGTGGGGAAATTATTTCTCTGCAGGCTCACCTCCTCTAAACRCTAATAAAATTATTTTCCAGGTTACAAATAACACATTCAGAAACTACTTTTGGGTTGTCAAGTGGGATTAAATTCAGTAAAAAAATAAGTACCATTATCTTTGAATGACAAATATGTAGGAATTGCATCAAATCAGTAAAGTTTTGCTAAAACATGTTCACAAACAGAACTACTTTAGTTGAAATAGTCCTGGAAATGCTCTTGGACCCCAATTAGTTGAAACAAATGAAAATACTGTAGATTATTATTTGAATTAATTATTGAYCACATATTATTTGTGCTTCATGTCTAACTGATCCCCTATAGGAGCTGCAATAAAGCAGAATTTCAAAAATARGTATTTTCTCTTGTTCTGTTTTGACCATGGTCACTGAATTTCTTTGCAAGTTCAATGCTCATTTGAAGCAGTGCTGATACCAGCCAATCAAATGAKACAAACCATTCAGATTGTTATCACAAATCCCAGAGCTGGAATCAGTCAGGACTTTGTATTAGTTTGCCTCAATAAAAACTCACCATTTTGTTATATAAACACCTATTATTAAAGTGATACAGCTCTCCAATAATGACCAACCTGCCAAGTGTAAAAATAATGTTGATAAATGCCATTAACACATTTTTATTGTTTAGTTTACTTTCTGAGTGTAAAATCCTAGTAATTTTTTTTTACATTTTATTGTTTTTTGCTCAGTGTTCTCACATTTTTGCTAAGTTTTACTAAATGTTAAATTTAAACAAAAACGTTAAAAGTACATGTTGCAGCTAAATGATAAAGCTTACATTTTAACAATTTCAGAAAGGAACACAGCCTTTGCCGTTGGTGTGCAGCTTTTTTTTATTTCTTCATCCTGCAATAAAAACAACTGCTAATGCTACTGAAATAAGTATTTAAAATTTGAATTCAAAATGTGTTCATTGAAAACAAACAATACGGATGGTACCTGTGATCCAGCAGTTTGAAGTGTAGCTCGAATACCAGCGGCAACTGCGAGTTAAGCGTTAGCAGCGTCAGCAGCATTAGCAGGGTTAGCGTTTGGTTGRGTCGCAGGTTGATGACATCATAACAAAAGCACCTGAAATACTTCAATGTAAACTTTYGCATTTATCCGCAACATTTAAGATTTAACTTTGACATTTAGATTTACACATTTAGACTTAGAATTTAARAGTTCCATATATCTTTTAACATTTAAATTGAACATTTCGTAAAAAATTAGCAAAATGTAAAAAAAAAAGTGAGCTAWATGACACCATTTTGGGAACTATGATTTTCCACTCAAAGTGAGCTGAAAATGTGTTTGTGACGTATTTTTAACATTTTATTTTACATGTGGCGCCCCATAAGCTGATGACAATGCTATTTTCTTTCTAAAATGTAGTGTTAATCTTAAATTACACAGATTCTGCTGCTTAAAACCATCTAATCCCTTGAATTTTCTGCTAGGCATTGCTTTTAAAATAAATTGATAAAAATAAACTGAGCCATCTTACATTTCTCTTCAGGTGTGATTTTTAGCAYTGGGAATATGTGGAAACAGCAGAGACGTTTTGCACTTTCAACACTCAAGTATTTTGGATTTGGGAAGAAATCTCTCGAACCTGTCATAATGGATGAATTCACACACTGTGCAGAAGAGATCAGAGCCTATAATGGTAATCACTTTACAAAAAACTTTTCTTTTAATTGGGGAAAAAAATATCCCCAATTTTCATTAAATGTTTTAATTTTGACAGCCAAGCCATTCGATCCACATCTGGTCATCAACAATGCTGTTGCCAACATCATCTGCCAGCTGGTGTTTGGTCATCGCTTTGAGTACGGTGATGAGAGATACACAAAGCTGATGCTGCTGTTTGACAAAAGTCTCCAGGTCGAAGCCTCCATCTGGGCACAGGTACTGAGTTTAAAGCTACAGAAGAAATCCTATGTGTGACGT